CTACAAGTTTCAACACTTATTCAGTATGCCGATGACACATCATGTTTGTTTGCGAGTGAAACTGCTCAGGAATTGTCCGACAGTCTAACATTAATATCAAAAAACATGGTAGAATGGTGCAATAATAACAATTTAATCCTTAACACACAAAAAACTGCTCTTGTAGCTTTCACATACTTTAATGACCAATCCTTACTTGTAAAAATGTCTGGCAAGTCCATTCAACAAACTGAAGTGACTAAATTCTTAGGGGTGCATATTGACCAAAACTTGAAGTGGTGCAAGCAGGTTGACTATGTTGTGGGCAGACTGAATAGTGCATGCTATGCTATCAGATATCTCAAAGAGCGCCTAAGCCTTAACTCAATTCGAGCGTATTACTTCGCAGCTGTCCATTGTGTACTAGCCTACAGCATACTACTTTGGTTCAATGCGTCTGATACACGTCGAGTATTTATAGCACAAAAACGCATTATTAGGGCTATGGTTGGTCTTCCAAGTGCAGCTTCTTGCCGAACTTCATTTCAACAATTGAAAATTTTAACTCTACCCAGTCTTGGTACATACGTGGCGAAACATAAATGATTTCAATAAAAATAGCCATATTTACAGCGCAATGAGTACAAGGAATGGTGACAATTTGAGCATACCCACTCACCGAACAACGCGTTATGAGAGAGGTTATTACTATAATTGCATCAAAGTATTTAATGCTATACCAAAGGCAATAAAACAATCAAGGAATATTCAATTGTTCAAAAAAAACTTATAATTATATCTACTTGAAAAAAATTACTACTCCGTGGGCGAGCTTGATGCGAATTAAACCGGACACACTAACATCTTATTTTCCTCAATGTATAACGTTTGTCCTCTTTATGTTTTTAGTTTGTCTTTTTTTCTATATTATTCTACATTCATGACAATGCCAATGTAAAGGAATTTATTCATGGCAATAAACTATTATTATTATTATTATTATTATCGTAGTTTTGCCAGAAAGATTTTAATTAGTTAGAAATTGAAATTTTGACTCCTGTACCATTTCTTCAGAACGGTTCAGAGTTTTTGAGTTTAACTTTTTTTCTATTTTTCCTTCATTTTTGAGTGGGCGGGGATTCAGCCAAGGCTGCTCTACCAACCCAACCCACTATACATTTACAAATATCCATGCCCTAACCCGGATTCGAACCAGGGACCCTTGGCACCACAGTTCAGCGAACTGCGCCACACGGCCGGCAAACTATAACGTGTAAAACGTTTGCAGGCTCTGAAATATCTTCCTTATTATTCAAAATAAGTTCCCGACAACATCATCGATTGTGTGACCAAATCTTGCTAATTTCCAGCAACGTGAGTAAGTTACAGCATTCGTGAAACGAACAAAAAAATCAACACTGATCCGCATTGCCCTAGATACAAACCACGCACGACTCGAATGTGTTTGGAAATCACTACTTACCTAACTGCATTGTAAAAAAATACTTTCTAATGCCTGTTAGTATTCGGCTGTCTACAGACGCGTTAACTATAGAGTATTATTACCAGATTTATCAGCCTCCCATCATTCCCTCAAGCTCACATAACTATACTATAGTGATATTATCTGCGCATCTGCCCGTGTAAGGAGACGTGTCAATATTTGTACACTTTGAAATTAAGGATTTTCAACAAGAATTGGGAAAACGTTATATGTAAGTGTAAGAACGATATTTTATGCTTGTAAAAACCCGTCGCACATATCCGGACATATTCCTACGAATTCCTTCGAGAGTGGACGAGTCGTCATGGTGTCGACCCAGTACGAAAAATTCAAGGCCTCACTGCTAACAAAAAAAATCGGATTGAGCTTGATCTGCAGGTGTTGGCAGGGAGGACAATGAGAGGCAAAGATCGACGGCGGTTGATCTATTGGCCAAAGGTCCTACTCATAGGGCACATCCCAATCGGAGTGTTCGAAGGGCCAGGAGGCTCAGCATTAGCTCGGGATTCAAAGCTCCTAGGCGAGTTACCGAATTAATTGGCGAATATTGCGGATAAGCGGTCGCAATTTACAGTAAATTTGTCGCATCTTAATAATGAGCTCTGACAAACCCCATTTAATTAGCCGCTTCCCCTATTAAAAATATCACATCTCGTTACATAAGTACAGAGCGATTTGCTTTGCTTTATTCGCATTCGTTCATAGAACTATTAATATAAGAATCTTTTTCCTTCTTTGTCAAATTTGAAATGAATAATGTGTCATTTTTTAAGAGTGGGCTAGATTTGCAATATTGCATCACTTTTTCTCTCCCGCTTCCAAATGTAACGCCAGTTTCCAAATTTAGTGTTGCGCATGCGCAGTGCCAACTTTCTTATTTATGGAAGAAATTAAATGAAATTTCATACATATACACAAATAAAAGGAATACTAACACCAGGTTCGAATTCTGGTTTTGCGCATCTTATAGCCATACCCAGGAGCTCGTTTTCTATATTTGTTTACACGTTTATTTAACCTATATCTTGTATACTCTAACGATATCACTATTAATGTTTTCTATGTAGGTATATTAGATTTTAATGTTTTCTTATGCAAAATTACTTCACATTTTCATTTTTAATGTATTATACTACTTATTTAATCAAGAATTAAAAGACTTATATGTTTTACAACGTGTAAACAGTCCGTATCTTAATTATGGCCAATTTCTTTTGACTTTCTTGATTACCGATCTGGTAATTTTCCTATTTTCGATGAGCGCAACCAAGATAGGTTGATTTTTAAGACAGAAACAGCGCGAGAGGGTAAAGTAATAATAGTAATATGCCGTCACAATAGACGACGTCATTTTGAAATTCACACAATTCATTATCAATTATCGCAAAATACCGCAGTTGATTACAATTTTAATTTAATTTAATCCACGAAATAGGTAATCTCGTAGGTAATGAAATCAAAACGCTAATTGACAGATGCGAAACAAATAACGTAAATAAATTCCTCGATCGATTTCATAAAGGGGACAATCGCGTGGCCACACCCACAAATTCATCCGATTGCCAAAATGAATGTAATTGACCTTGACTGGCCCGACGAATTTAAGGAGTGGGGGAAAAGTGCACTCATTCTATTTATGCATTAATAAACTTGTAACAAATAGCAAAGGAGCTCCTTGGTCACTGAAAATTAAATCAGTTCTTCCTTGGGTGATGATAAACATAATACTGAATTCTGAAAACAGAATTGGAAAATTCAAAACTGTTCGCCAGTTATCATGTAGACCGGCGGACGAATGGACAAAATCATGAACTCGCTTAGGAATTCGTTAATAAATAAACATTCATTAGTAACGAGCGGCAAAGCTCGTACATGATTTTGAACTTTTGTCCGTCCGTCTGTGTACATGATAACTCACGAACGATTTCCAATTATTCTGTTTTCAGTAATAGGTCAAGGGACGAACTGATTAAATGTTAAAATGAAATCATAAGCGTTCTGTGACATCGTTTATTTGAGAGACCGAGTATTACCTATTTTAAACGTTTTACATTAGTAGTACCTTTAGCCGATAGATGGGAATGCTGTCGCTTTATTAAAAATGTTAATTTTTATGTACCAAGTTACAGAACTCGCCCAAAGATCAGAATCTACTACTGCCTACTTTCCTACCGACGCCTTCTAGAAAATGAGGAAAATGTATCACAAAGCAGTTTTGAAATTTATGTATAGCGTGATGTGTAATTAACAAGTAATTGGAATGCAGCTAATGAGCTAATACTGAATTGATAGTCAAATTGTTAGTCGAGTCCTTAAGCTACATTGTCCTCTAAACCCTCCAACACATATACTCGAGTGTTTTAAACCGTTCACAATCGACAGTCTTTAAAAAGCGTGGTAGATTGAGGTGCTTAAACGATGAAGCCGCCGGCATGTAAGTAAAATAGCTCTACAGACGGTGGCGCGTATCGATGGGGGAACTACCCTTCTGTGCATTTAGGATTCAGTAGTAGCATGTGTGCGATCCGGCGGTACAACTAACTACTGAAGTATCCCTCGCACTTTTTTTTTACAGCAGAACGAAATTTTGAAACTCCGTGTAACCTAAATCGATATGGCGATCCCCTATTAACGAAATGAAATACAAGAATTTCTTCGTTACCTACCCGACTAGGGGCGGAAATCTTGCAAAGGGAAACTAAGGTGCCGTAATTCACGTAACATCTGGTCGGTCTCACTTTCAATCGATACTCGACATCCTCGGTTACACCTCAGCTTTAGGCGCGCTTATCCATTCCGCCCTTTACAAAACCGTACGCTTCGGTTAAGGAAGGGTTCGGCGACGGTTTCGCGTCTTTTAGCTCGGATTACAATTCGAGAATGATCAAAAGAGAGGAGACGGCGATCGCTGATGAACCGAAAGGACAATAATCTCGCGTAATCCGCGATAATTATGTTGGGGCGTTAATTAAAAATTAAAAATTTGCCCAGATCATTCATGTCAAATCCAGAACCAGGCCAACATTTTTCATTTTGATTTTCCATTGGTCGAAACTTTCTCGGCATTGTTACAACGAAAAGCGAATTTTACTGGTTAGTTTATCAGGGGGTTTATAAAGTTAGTTGCCGGAGGTTATACACATTTACATTCCCCTCTTGACTATGTTTGGATAATAGATGAGCTTTTTAATCCACCTCTCGCCCTCCTCCGGCTAATTTGTTTGCAATTCTCCATCCCAACAAAACAATTTTTACGACAATTTTTATGGCCGTTTTTATTTTCTGTCCACCGCGATTGTGACCAAAACAGTCACGTAGCGGGAGAATAAAGGCCACTTAACCGTGCCCCAAACAAAGACGAAACCGTCCTTGAACTTTTTTATGCAACTGCCACTTCGATGGCTCGATCTGTTTCTGTTAAAACAAAACGCGCTCTCCTTTTTATATCCAAAAAACAACAAGCAAACGCCCTAAAATCCTAAATTCTCCATAGAGAGATATACCTTTATTACTCGCTTTTATTTTTATTGGGCTGTTAAAATTTTATATACACATGAGAAATGGGGAAAATAAAAGGCCTTACCTAAAACACGTGCACGTCGAACTTGAACACGTGGTCTTGAAATCCTCGCCTAGTAGATCAGATATTCGAGAACCCTTTGCTTAACGCGTATAAGCCAAATCTTTGTTTAATAATCCCCTGTTTAGGAATAGTGAAGAAAACAGTTTGTTACATCTCCGTTACAAACGACGCATTTCCGGTAGGCCCAGGAAGCAAAATCGTCAATCGATAAATACTAGTAGAAGTCACACAAAATTGAACCATAATTGGCTTTTTTTTGTTAAAGTCCTTTTAATCGACGAATTCGACGCGACTTACAAGTCCAATCTTTCCATCAAACTTACAAAACGTCTACAAAATATAGGTGTACTAGCTAGAAGTCCAGGAATTGAGTCTTATGCGTTTGTCATATGTGGGGAATAATTTTCGAGAGGCATGACAATACTCGTGTTTTAATCCGAACAAGTTGTCACAAACTCGACAAACTGCGCATCTCAAAAACAATTCCACATGAAAAATTTTCACCTCACCTTCACCAAGTATTCTTTGCACATTCGTGCCATTTTCTATTTGTGAGTACCCTCTTTCGACACCTCGTTCTCAAGGTATTTGCATCTGAAGTTTTGACTCCACGGACGGATCCATCCCGTCCCTATCCTTCACTTTCCCTTCTTAAAGTACCCTCTTCGCATTTCGAATTTGCAGTTTCAAAAACTATACCTAGAAACTAGAAAAAGTGTAATCGTTAACGATATAAGCTGCAAAGTTTTTTTGTCATTCAATATTTTCCCCAGTTAAATATTCATTTCAGATAGTCACTGTACTTTCAGACACTCGCTACGCCATCTGTATATTTTTTCTGTAAATTCCTTGTATAGATTATTGGTATAGAATTAATTTCGTACTTCATTATTCTGCCACTAGAGGTCACGCAAAGTATCTTTCAGTACAATAATATTGTTCGATTTTCCTTTCCTTGATCTTTCGCTTGTGCAAAGCCGATCCTGTAGAAGAACGAGAGTTGTTGCGGTTGTGACTTGTAAAACATAACGTCACCATATTTTTTTCTTTGGCGGGTTTGTAACGAAACACCCCTTTTCTTTCTTGAAGTTTACATACTTTTATGACCAGCTGGTACGATGGACATTAAGTTGGGCGCTTCGTTACGAAAAGTGTCGCTCCCAAAGTATTGGTGTTGGTTTTCGGAGTTGAAGATAGAAGGTAAAGGTAATTGATTTGATTTCTATAGTTGTGCTTCAGCCGCCGGTACCGTAAGCAAAAACTGTAGTCAATTCGCCGTTTGCAACCGTTTCCGTAAAGATATTTCAATTCACTTTCTTGCGTTCGAAAGCTCTTGCTAGCTATTTACAAGACAAAGGCAAATTCATATTTTAGAATTTCACTCCCGTTAAGAATTAGATGATTTTGGTCTCCAATGGTATATGAAAACCAGTTTAAAACCAGCCGAAGCGTGCAGTGTAGGTGTTTATCAACTTGATATCGCCGACCCCACCGGTTGATCCCAACATTCCAATTAACAATAGGTGTTAATTGAACTACCAACTTCAGATATTTCAATTCGGCCTATTAAGTAAGTGTAATTAACAGTAACTAATGAAATGTGTTGCGGTAAACGTTGTGGAAATCAGTCGTAAGAGGTGTCCCTGGATGCGCTCTAATTTTTCCAGATGTTTACAAGTTGTTTCCGGTTGTTATGATTACCAGAAGTAGAGTAATTAATTAAAGAAGTTTTAATTTCTGGACATTCTTATCCGAATACACTAGGTAGGCTGGAAAACCGTCGATCCCTTCATGAAATGGCTGAATTCTATAAAGGGTAAAGCCGTTGTTTAGAGGGGACCGTGTGCCTTTTGCATTTTCGCACGTGGGTGCTCGTAAGTACCTACCGTATACTTATTTTGTATTCGTACCGTTTAATTTTTGCTTTTACATTAAGTTTACCGCACCGTATCTACAGCTTTTGCTTTTTCTTGGACAGTAATTTCTATCGCTCCGTTTTATTGCAAAGTAAGCTTTTTGCTAATTCGTGTTCTACTAATTATAGGGGGGAGGGGAAGGATGTTGATTCGCTTTCCTGCATTTACTTTCCGGTAGACACCGCTAATTAACTTCTGCCTTGTGTTGCTTTCAGTTGATTTAGTTTTCTGATGCGAGATGTCACTGTCTGGCACTTCGTATTGGTTTTCGTACATTCAATCTACCAGCTTTAATGGACACCCGGTACATGGATGGCATTGAACGAGAAACTGTACGTTCCGGACCTATTTATTTATATTCTAGGAGCGGGAAATAGAAGGTAGAATGAAGGGCTTCAGTGTTCAGTGTCGTTTAACCGCCGATAAGGAAAACAAGATGCCGTATCTAATTGTTCCCGTAGAGCCCCCGAAACCTCTCGTCGTTTGGAAGACGAGAGCAAATTAATATTGTACGATTTCAGTTCCCATCACTCATTAATAACCGATTTTAGTCTCCAAAATTATAAGCGAAAAGGAGTATTATAGCAAGCAAGATCGCCGTAGTACGATAGATAAGCATACGTCTCGCTTGATCCGAGAATTCCAATTACTTACTAAGACTACTGAATTTTGAAATTTTAATCCGGCCAATTAAGTGAGTATAATAACTGTAGTTAATTGTGTTGCAGCAAACGATAAAATTTTACGACACCGCACCATTTAAGTTCGAGGCATTTGTGCGCGGAGTACGGAAGTTCGTCGCATCGTCGCCATTTTGAAACAGTGCGACAGAATCTAAAAAAAAGGAACTTGCTAACTGAAACCTTTCAAATATAATCACAATTAATAAAAATAGTTCCAGTGTACACTAGTCCATAATTGAAATAGTATGTATACCCTTCTTTTACACGTTCCGAAAACTATTAGACAATCGTAGTTTCGGATCACTCCATAATAGCGCCGGTGCGAGCTCCATTTGGTTTTTGTTGTAAATGTCATACCAAAATATATTTCGTGCAATAAATGTCTGTATACCGTTATAAGATTGATTGACAAACGATTTTATGGGTTTCTTATTTACATAGCAATTAGACTCCCGCAGTGTCCCGAAAGAAACACTGCATTCTCGAATTGTTAAAATAATAATGAAGTATAAGTTTAAAACAACGCAAACTTTACAACGAAATTCTTTCGATCACCTAAATTCGTACGTATATTTTTGGATTCGAAATCACTTATCCTCTTTAAACCTACCATCACAATCTTTAACCTAATCCAAATTAATTGCTAATAAAAGTGATTAATGATCAATGCCGTTAAGTAATTGACCTACGGAGTGTCCAACAACGAATGCCGGTAATCTACATCGCGAAAAAGTTTCTAGTTCCGGTACATCAAGCCAATGTGTTTAGCTATTTCCTCCACGAAATTGGAGAATAATTAAAAATGGCCAACGTCCCGAAGTGATTAGGAAAGCTTCATCTCTTGCTTCAAATGAGACATCAACGATGTTCAGTCACGGTATGAGATCAAGTAGATTTGAGGTAGAATGTAAGGTGACACACCGTCACTTCTGCCAAATTGAAGACTGGAAACCTTACACTCCAAATCGTTAAATAGTAATTTATTCCTAATCAGTCTTGAGTTTATATCCAGTATTTTAGAGTGCTCTCGAAAGGTTTTCACTGGTTTCCATATTTAGGCCTCCATTATGGAATTTTTCAAATATTTCTGTAAAAACGTACTTAATAAATACTTTAGGGGTTCTAAAGTATTTCAAACTCTCCATATTCTTCAGATGTCTTCTCGAGATTCTTAGCGAACGTTCAGATTTTTGAAGAATTTATGAAAGAAAAAGAAATTCTGGTGTCACGTTTCAGAGGTTACATAGAGATTACTCGGTGATTCTACTTGTATACTTGATCTCTTCTGATCGGGACCGCTTTACCATGTCAACCCTCTATTCTATTAGAATTTCTCTACTTCACTAGACGAAGCTCGCTCACAAGCAAGCCTGATTTCTTCCTAAAGAATCTCTTAGAATCGTACCGAAAATGTTTAGAAAGATTGCATACCGGTACCGTAAACAAACGCTGTAGGTAATTCGCCGTTTGCGCCCGTTCCCGTGAAGATATTTCAATTATCTTTATTGCGTCCGAAAGCTTTTGCCATTTACAAAACGAAGACACATTAATATTCGAGAATTTCAATATTAGCTGAGTTTGGTTTCCAATGATATATGCAAACAAGCTTAAAACTAGTCGAGACCGTGCAGTTTAGGTATTTATCAGCTTGATATCGCAATTAACAGTAGCTAATAAAATGTGTTGTAGTAACCATTCTCGAAATTAGGCGTAAGACGTGCCCCTGGAACAGTCAATTAACGGGGATCGAGTCGACTTTCAAGCTATAAGTATACAAGAAACTTCGTGTTTTTGAAGTCCAAGATCTTATAGTTTTCATCATTTAAATTCCGCATCCAGCTCAGTTTCATCTACGACATATTATGATAATAGTTTACGATCTGGATAATCGAGCTAAAACTTTTAAGCACACACTACCCACGATAACAGTCTAGATGAGATCATAACACGAGTAACGTACACGAAAAAGTCTTTATTATGGAAATAAAAGTCCCGCAACTGCATTTAAATAAATGAATACCAATGAAGTTTCCACAAATACAAAATAAAATCTCAATAATCGGGCTAAAACGAATTAAAGTCGCATACATTCATTTTCGGATTATGCAAATTGGTGCCCTGAGAAAGTGCAAGATATCTATATTTGGATCTTATTTACGAGCATTACTGCGTTCAGGTGTTGAAAACAACCAATTGGCTGCAAAGTGCATTTTCCAGTAAGTCCATAAAGCTCGCTGAGATATTTCGACAAGGATTGCCTTTTTTTATGTGGCAACATTTAAATTGTCTTATTAAGCTTCCTACCGAGCGGTTAATCCAGTTGTTTAAATAAAAAGGCGAACTTACCCCATTAGTTTTCGTGTCATACACGTCGGAAATGCGCCGTAATGATTTTTAAACGTAGTGCGATCGAGGGAGAGAGAAAGAGTAGAAATTAGAACGAAATTTAAGTTCGCTGCTTGCTTGTGTAATTTAGTTAAAGCGATTATGCAAATGGCGAAGTCACCCCCATTCAATTCTTAATTAAACTGAGACACTTAAAATCTATATCCCGAGGAGCACCTCGGAATATATTGCGTCATTGAAATTGCCTTGAGATAGGGCTTGCAGTCAATTACTGCCGGGCGAAACTTAAATCTTTCCCATGATCTTCTTATTCCCTTCTTGTGCCGAAGGTGTCTGAAACGACGGCGTTTTTATGAAGGTCGTTGAACGCGTTTTCTCGTCTAAAGTTCTGATCGTAAAAAAAGGCAACTTCCTGCAAGGAGAAAAAGTCTACAATTGTTTCTCGGCACTTCATCATGAAAAAGTCCGAATGATTTCCAATTATTCTCGGTAACAGAATGTAAGAAAAATGGAGAAATTATCTCCCGATTCTACGAAGGGGCTGCGTCTGTAGAAATCCGAAACTTTCTCACATGTGGCGTGTTCCGTAAAATCAAAAAAGGAAGTCAAATGAGCTTATTAACATTAGGGTCACCACACTACGAGCCGTCAGCAACAGCACTTTTTGACCAATCTTTGCTGGTAGGAATTAATGTCCTGCGACGATTCAATAACGGCGATCTAAGACGCAGATTGTTTAATTGTCCGATTACTTTGCTTACAGTACCAGAGAAACATCTCTCCGAAGCCAGCAGAAATGACGTTTCTTTCAGTTCCGCAGATGAAGTGCGACAACGCGTCTAAAAGCGCGAGCATCCTGTTTATATGCACCGTCATATTATCCATAATGACCGTAGCGTTCTTATCTTAATACAACTGGAACCATATAAGAAAGATATTCGCAATAAAAGCCAGTTTTCCCTTTTCAGAGTCCTTCGAACATTCTCTCCAGCCGCTTTCCGAAAGGAAGATTTGACATCGGTAGCTCTGTACCAACAAGAGGAAGTATTTCTGGTGGTAGAAAAATCAGTGAAATTTAGTGACTAATAAAATACCGGTGTTTACGATTTGTTGATGCTTAATTTCACATACCCTGGACCAACTGTCGAAATATGATCTCGTACCCTGGGCCAACTGCCAAAATTAGGTGGGCCTCCAGAATTTTCTAACGGTCCCGAGTATTTTCTCGTGGTCAAGTGCTGGAATGCTGACCATACTAGAAAGTACCAAATGAAAGCAGTTTTTGTAAAACAATTTAGATTTAAAAAAAGGGACACTTGTTTAGAGAACAGTGTTCAAATATATTTGACACGTTTTTTTTGCTACAGCAATGTTTACATCCCTATCAAAAAGGACTCGATACTTCTTGATCCGTGTTATGGTTCTCCAGAAAAAAAGAAATTCAATTCTGGGGATTTTTTAAGGGTAGCTTCGAAACGAAGCATTTGAAACTTTTATGAAAAACATTTTGGTACTTTCTATTCTGATTAGTTATTACTTTCTTCTTCGGTTTTTAGTGCTTTCTGCAACGACTAGGTCACATCACTACTACTGCGGGCACTTTTCAACAACAACTTCTGCTTTGAGAATTTTCCTAGTATTGCCAACCCTTTTCGAAGGGTAAGCGTTTACTTGCATCTGCTTCAACCACTCTTAGACATTTTTGCATGTTTCCTCCATAGATATCGGACGGACGGATTGGAGTCAAAGGATGACCTATTTACAAAAAAAAAGGTAAAAGAGTTACCTATACAACACTGTGTAAATACCGTTTAAGTTAAGTACAGAATGTACCGTATCCGGCGTTAGGATCAAAATCGAATATCTTGAAAACGGACTATCAAAGGAGCGTACTATCAAAGAGAAAACGGTAGGTCTAGACGAGACGCCTCAGCTTTAAATCCGAATATCATGGAAATATCGCATATGATTGGTGATTTTTTGGATTTTATTGTTTATAGACTTCCAGCTTGTTTTTCCAGGTATGATCCTCGATAAAAATTTGTTCCAAGAGACTGTTGTATACCTACTTAATTTATTTATTTTTAGTTTATTATTTTTGTTTGACTAATTAAGTGGAATAACGCGACTTACCAATACCAAGTACGAATGCGCTCATTGGTAGTGAAAGTTCTCGATTATAATCAAAGGACTCACCTGAAAAAAAAGAAAAACAGGTTAATTTTGTAACCAAAAACATACTGATTAAGTGGCTAGACACGATAAGCCACATGACAACACATATAATACAATCAAATATGATAATACAAGGGCAGTTGATTAGTAACATCTTTCCTCATCGCGCGGTCGCGCCTCTTGCTGTAATCACACCATAATAATAAATCTCAACTCACAAGTTTTAATGTCAAGCTGAGTGAGAACAACTGTTTTTATTTAGTTGTTATTGGGAATTATTCATTTAACTGTGTTATTTCTTATTTGAATTTAAGCATAATGCCTATGGAAAAAGGGAAAGAAAAGATGAATCAGAAATGAGATAAAATGTATATTGAAAGAAGCCAAATCTAAAGATTGACGTTTACCACATATTTAAGGTTATAACCATTTATATTAGTAGTACGTTCTTAAGAAAAAACTTTTTTAATCTTCAAGCAGCAGGGAGGGTACAATAACGGAGAGAAGAGTAGTGATAAATCAGAAGAAAGTGCGAGCTTCTAAGAGTAAGAAGAGAACTACCGAGATGTTTTGAGACAAGGTGCAAAAACTGATAAATTAGCAGGGAAAGCGCATTTTTTTAAACACCCTTACGAAATTTCTTCCATAAATAAGAAAGTTGGCACTGCACATCTTACACAAAACCAAATTTGGAAACTGGCGTTAAATTTGGTTTTATTCCAACTGGCTATGTATCAAATTTTATTTAAATGCCTCCATAAATAAGAAAGTTGGCACTGCGCATGCGCAAAACCAAATTTAGGAAATGGCGCTACATTTGCTTTTATTCCAAGTGGCTGTGTATCAAATTTCATTTAAATCCCTCCATAAATAAGAAAGTTGGCACTGCGCATGCGCAAAACGAAATTTTGAAACTGGCGTTAAATTTGGTTTTATTCCAAGTGGCTATATATCAAATTTTATTTAAATGCCCAATGGTTATATTTCTTCCAAACGTCCCAATCGCCCATTGTAGGTACTTTCCTTTGACAATTCACTCTTAAGATATAAGGAATTATAACCGATCACGACAAGGGATCGAGGAGGAAGACTATGGTTAGTATAAATTAAATCCTTTCATAGAGGGCTTTCATTAGAGTACCTACTAGTTCCACTCCCCCCCCTTCCCCCTCCCGCTGTACTTTGATAAGAGAACAAAAAGAAGGGCAGTAGTTTGTAGAAAACTGTTCCTTTCGTTGAGACCTTTAATTAGAATACAATGAGAGATAAAATTAGTTTTTAACCCCCTCCCCCAGGCTCCGTCGCTCACTGATCTCGAAAAAGAGTCGCACGGGAAAGTTGTAGTTTGTACAAACCAATTTATTTCGATGAGACCTTTCATTAGAATACTATGAAGGGTAGAACATGTGCTTACCCCCCCCCCCCCCATTTTATAAAGTTTAATTTGGCACCACTAAAGGCATGCGTATGTTACATTTTTTTAATTCTTAAAAAATGCGCTAAAAATGAATAAAGGCATTTGCCATGAATTGATCAGTACCTCCCTAAAGACCATGCAACGCACTATTTATTTGTACAAAAGAAAATGACTTATGGCACAATAAGAAACTTGGCATTGCGCAATCTGAAATGATAGTACAGATAGACAGACAGACCGAACGACTGCACCATCGAGATTTTGTTTGATTCGGATTCCTGGTGCTTCAAAACGTGTATTTTCGTAAAAAAAAGTGGGGGGGGGGTCATTTTTTACCCCAATGCAATACCTACCTCCCTTACTAACGTATAAGGGAGTGTGTAACGTAATTAATAGGTCTGGTGAGAATAATAAATGAATAAACGGAGATCTAACAGATAAAAGAAAATAATATTTAATAATCTGGTCTGGAACATACAGATCTGAAATATTATCCGAAAAATGAGCTACGGTGAACCACAAATTCAGTCTTTTATAGGGGACGAGGTAGAGCCAGTGGCGGATTAAGGGTGTATGAGGCCTGGGGCGATTTTCAGAGTGGGGCCCCACTTGCCCTACTTTTCTAACCCATGAATCACAACAAACGAATAGAAAAATGCTATGAATGTGAATAAGGTTTTATTGATACATAACAAATGATGAAATCTTAAAATTTATGTTTCCGCGCTTTTATTCTGCTGAATACCGACCCGACGCCGTCGCCGACCGCCGCTCGCCTCCCCACCGGCCACCCCGGCCAGCCAATACTAGGTCTTTTTTTTCTCTCTTTGCAGTTGCAACGCATCGGGGGCCTACTCTAGTGACGGGGCCCGGGGCGGACCGCCCCTGCCGCCCCCCCCTTAGTCCGCCACTGGGTAGAGCTGGAACAGGTGGAAACATAAGATGAGAAAGAATTCAGATTGGACGGAAGCAGGCATCTAACGCAGGAATTTTATACCACCCCTTACAGAGATTTACAAACAACAGGGCTTCGTTGCCGATTTTAAGTCAAATTGAAAAACGAAACACACTCATGAGTCATGATGTACCATGCACAGACAGGTATACAACACACGATGCACATAGTAAGTTTAATTTTCAACAGTTAAAACAGATTTTTAGTGAATTGTATTCGAATTTTCATTTAGTAGAGTGTAATTAAATGATTGTGCGTACTACGGCATTATTTCCAGAGAAGTGTTCTGAAGTAATTTTGGTAGCGATCTTTTCGGAGGGTTTTGGGATTTGTGCAATTGCTTTTACACTTTACGTTAATATAATGTTTTGATCACATTAAATTCTGATTAAAATACATTAAAAGTTTGAGGATTTATTTTTTATTTAATTATCCCTCTTTTGTTCTGGGCCCTCAACAGGCTTGAGTCCAATTACAGAAAAAACTTGTCTGGTACTCTGGAGAAACTAGCCTTTTCGGAACTAGATTTTCATAAAAAAACGCAAATGTAGAATTGAATACAGGATCAGGTACATTCGTTCATTTTCGAGCCGCCCATTTGTCTCGGCCAACTTCACGGGAGCAGATTTGGTTACAAGTGTTTAAAGATTCGTAGGTGTAGTAATTCTAAGTAAAAACTTTCCAAACAAAATGCATGAATGTGACTGCGGAAAACAAATATAGAATATAGAGAAGCCCAAACTCTCTGATCTTTAAAAATTGTGCATATACTAGATAAATCTGTAGCGAATTTTCTAGAACGTTATCAAGGCGCCATAAAATCAATAATTTTCGATCATCGGTTAAAAGGCTAAATTAGAGCGGATGTGACTAATCCTTTCTATGACATATGATATGCCGACGTTGGAAAGTGGTCCATAATTGTCGAGAAGCTTTTTGTGTGTTATTAAATTGTGTTTAGACTTAGTCTTAACATCGACGTCGAAGTGATAAATAATCAACTGCGCCCTCGTGTTGAATTTAAGTGTGGTTACAAGAAACTAATCAATTAAGTGTTATAAATCATTCTATTTAAGGGCCGTTTTAAATGTCATTAATAGTCTTAATAAATATATAGGGATTTAAATAAATCACTATCAACTATTTATATAGCATGGGTAGCAGAAAATGCGCAAGAAAAATTACCTTTTTGCACTCATTGTAATATTTTCCCCAAATCCAGGACAGGTTTCAACAAATCTTTCAAAATATTATAAAACCTACTATCGAGAGAAATTATCGCCTTCCGTAGCAATTAGACTTTACAACGTTAGTAGTAATTGGACTATGTCTCAAAACATATTCTGGGAATTCGAGATAAGATTGAATAACGACATGACCCGACAAGGAAAATACCAAAATGAAATAATTCGAGTTACAAGCACTACAAATTACGATAGCTCCATGTTTCGCTCAACTTCACATGAGCTGGGTGTCATTTTTTTACGAAGTCTCTGTTGAGCACTTACGAGGAATACTCTGATGAATTACAAGAATTTAACGTCAATATCTCCATTGTATTGTTTAATATTATTGATTACGGGGTCACTGCGATCCACATTGCATTTTTATTAGTACACAGTTTCCTATTATTTAATGTTATTGCTCTGTGCTTAAGCGAACATGGCGGTCGGTAGCCATTTTGAAGGGCAGCGTGCCAAATTTATCTTGAGCTATCGTGATTTTGGCTTTTATCTAAAGGTAAGGATCATCGCGTGTCGTAGAGTTAATTGCTGTTGTTAAAAAAAAGGGTTGACGCCTTCGTTCGCCATTATCTAAATCTAAACCGACCTTCTTAATCACTACATTGTCGTTTGTCGTTAGAACAAAAGGATCGATTCGGTGCGAGCTGCTGCAATTTTGTTTACAAAACAATGTAGTGGGTACACGTGTTCCATATAGATTGTAAAAGCACGCCATTGTAACATCAATTCCTGACCCGTCCGCACCTACACCCGGTCCCATTACCACTCTTCAATATTAAAACATTTGCCTCTCCCTAAAAACTCGCCGCAGCCGCTCCCTTAAGCGGAGGGATGTGTGCGTATTTTTGTTGCCCAAACGGCGATGTGCGTAGATTTTCATCGGGAAAAATATCAGTATTTTTCAAGCTACCTCTACCCCCTAATGTCGTGGTATAGATGTGCAAACTACGACGTAACGGTGAAATTTTAATACGAACCAGAAAGCGGCGAATGTAAAGGACTTTGTAGGAGGACATATAAGGATGTGTTCTCCGTTACGCCTTGGAAATGCTCTCTCTTGTATGTCTTCGCTGGCACATAACATATTTCATGTTGATTTTGAATTCTGAATGTGCGTGTTTCTTTTTAAATTTTATAATACGGACTCTAATATTTCCTTTGCACCCCATTGTTCTGTACGTTGTAAGAAAATCTATTTTCACCTCACTATTTATGTCAAACTTTATTGCTCTTTGTTGGGGCTCTTTATATTTTGTGCTTAATTAAAATAATGAATGTGTCATAAATGGTTTATTGTTTTATGATCTGGCGTGTTAAGTGTTTGCAAGGACACGAGTTGAGAAACAATGAAATTTGTTCTATAATTTAATGGTAATTGCTCGTCGCTCATGTGCAATTAGATAAC